CCTCCCGGGTTCAAGCCATACTTGTGCCTCAACCTCCCAAGTAGCTGGGACTACAGGCACACACCACCATGCCTGGCTAATTTTTATGATATTAGTAGAGATGGGGTTTCATCATGTTGGCCGGGCTGGTCTCAAACTCCTGAACTCAAGAGATCCACCTGCCTTGGCCTCCCAAAATTCTGGGATTACAGGCGTGAGCCACTGTACCCAGCCTGTTTTTAAATTTTGATTTTTCAGACTGTTATCCCAGTATTTTCGTCCATAAGAAAAAATTCTCAAAGACTGAGAATTGAATAAATTTTGGGGGAAACAGCCCTTTTTAATTACTCAGATGTTTCAAGATTCAGAACACAAGGCTTTCTCTTCAAAGCTAAAAGGTTGGGCATGGGGATATCATTTTCAAGAGATAGGGGCCACAACAGTTAGCCTCCTGCAAAGGTGCAACCAGAACTGCAACCTAGAATTGTACTGGACCTAGCCTAAAAATATGTTTATTAGTATAGTAAGAATGTTGGGAAAAATCACATAGGTAAATGCCACACTTCAAAGTGCTGGGAATAATTAACCTCAAAGCTCCAAGGACTACAGAGAACAACTTTAACAAGTGACAGGTAAATGCTGTCATTTAAGAGCTATCATGTAGCCAGGTGTGGTGACTCACGCCTGTAATCCCAGCACTTTGGGAGGCTGAGGCATGTGGATTACCTGAGGTCAGGAGTTTGAGACCAGCATGGCCAACATGGCAAAACTTTGTCTCTACTAAAAATACAACAATTTGCCAGGCATGGTGGTGGGCACCTGTAATCCCAGCTACTCAGGAGGCTGAAGAATGAGAATCACTTGAACCCAGGAGGTAGAGGTTGCAGTGAGCCAAGATCGCACCACTGCACTCCAGCCTGGGTGACAGAGCGAGACTCCATCTAAAAAAAAAAAAAGAGCCATCATGTAATTACAGACAAATAACACAGTAAAAAGACCACATGAGAATCCAGGTAGTGGGTTTATGAGTGTTCACTATAGAAATCTTTCAACTTTGCCAGAAGTTTGAAACTTTTTATAATAAAATATTGGAGGGAAAATACCACATTGTAATGGTAAACAGGAAACATTTGTAGAGGACATTTTAGGGGCATGTACAGACATCTCTCTGAATTAGGCAGTCAGAAAAGCCAACCAAGACAGTGCAACACTGGCTCTTCAGATTCCCACTCTCTCCCCTTCCCAATGGCCATGAACACGCAAGCTGTCACATTTCCAAAAAGTTCCAGATGACTGCGTTTATCCCCAGGAAAATACAGGCACCCCACCTCTACCACAGGGTGAATGCATCCCATATTTGTATCTAAGAATAGTAGTTGTCAGCCCAAATGGAGCCTTGATCATCCTTGAAACAGTATACACAGATAGGGAAGCCCTGACGACACCACGGAATGTCTGAAGAGCAGCTGAAGTGACTCCCTCTTGAAACGCATACAGCACATTGCCTCTCTGTGCTTGGTTTTCCTATAGAACAACTAGCATTGGTTTCTGATCTATAATCCGATTTAATAAGGAATCTCTCTAACTTTTCTTTTACTAAAAGTAGCCAACTACACTTTGTCAAATGAAAATTATACTGTAATTCTGCAGAAAAGTACAACCTAATGTAGCTATCTGCTGAATGAATCACCATTCAATTGGAACTTGAAAAACAGAGAAAGGATTGAGAGGGAGAAAAAGTACTGATTAAAAGAAGTAACAAAGACCATAAGGGATCAGCTAGTGATAGGACGAGCTCATCCATCTCAAATAAAACTCCATTCTTTGTGCCATCCTTGCTCTGCGGTTCAGCAAAAGCCCTTCCCTGCAACATGGCTCTGCATCCTGCCTGCTTAATTAGATGAATAGGACGTTGAATGGGCCCAGCAAAAGGCAAACATTATTGGAAAAATATAAGCTATGATTGTGAAGACTGATACACAATCCTGATAGAATAAATTATGACAAAAGATTCCATGTGTCTGTGCCACGGAGCTAGCTCTGTGTTTCCATGATAGCCCATAACAACCCTGCTTTAATTCTGACTTTCATTCAGCAGGTAGTTCTGTTTCTTGCTTTCTTTTTTTTCCCTAGCTAACACCTTGAATAATCAACATGTATTTTTGAGTCACCAAAGTTAATAATGATATCTTAGTAAGGTGATTGGATCAGAGGGTGGGGTCTGAACTGACTGT